GCTTAAGTCCAGGAGTTGGAGATTGCTGTGAGCTGTGATGCCACCGCACTCTACCCAGGGTGACAGCTTGAGGCTCTGTCTCAAAAAAAAAAATTAATTAAATAAAATGGCTCTGCACCTGTAGCTCAGTGAGTAGGGTGCCGGCCACATACGCCAAGGCTGGAGGGTTCAAGCCCAGCTGGGCCTGCTAAAACAACAACTACAACCAAAAAATAGCCGGGCGCTTGTAGTCCCAGCTACTCAGGAGGCTGAGGCAAGAGAATCAGCTGTGTGACACCACAGCACTCTACTGAGGGCCACAGAGTGAGACTCTGTCTCAAATAAATAAATAAATAAATAAGCCCTCCTGTTGTGGCGTTAGTCTGTTTGCCAGGCAGGTGATGATAGGAGATCCACTCACCCTTTCCCTGGCTCAAACTTCCCTTTGGGAAAGATGTGTTCAAACATTACCCAACCCCAGTGCTCCAGTGTGAGTTTTGTAAAAGGTAAAGGTTTTATGCAAAGTGAAGGGAAGTCAGAGTGCATTTCCCCTGGGTAATATCATGCACTTTGGACTGCCTTGCCATTCCTCAGAGCCACTGGCTCGGAGCCCCATGCATACCACTGAGACCTTGTAGTATACAAGTGATGGTTGTATTCAGGGGCTAAGCAGAATGAGCTAATGCCTGGAACTATACTCTCAAGTCCTGAGTTTCTTTTTACTTATAATAGTTTCAGTAAAATAGGATACTGCCATATGTTTTGTAGGATCCCCTGCCAGGTTCTTAAATGCCTTATCATTTTACACACCTGACAGACTGAGGCCATTCAGAGTGGGAGAAAGATTTGCACACCCCAACCCAGGCATGTTGTCTTTGTATCCACTGAATAGAATTCACAGTTGAAAACTCATGTCTTTAGTGTCCAGCTTCCTAAAAGAATTACATCTTAATTTGTGTGTCATATGCATTCCTAAAAGGTCATACATAAGAATCATTGACTTCTATTAAAATTTCAAAGATGTTTTCCTACTATTAAATAAACACATTCATCAATCCATAAAAGTACCCTTTAGAATTCTAATTTTAATTTCAAAGGACTGCCCTGCTTTCATTGATGTTCAGTCTGCTAGCATTTAATCCTCTCATAAAACAGCTGTAAGCAGTTAGTCAAATGGACAATCAAGCCACATGGTCTGGGATACTTGTAAATTAAAATATGTCATACAGTAGATTTCCATTTCATGGGAGTTCTTTCATTCTGCTGCTTTAGTAAAATATTATGTACTTTATCTTTTTATATAAAAAGTGGACTGTTGTTTATTCATTCAACAAAAATCTTAATCCTTTTTTTGGAACAAGACAAGGAAAAAAAATAATGGTTTGTTTAACAAAAAATATATTAAGTTCCTAAGTGTCATGTTTAGTATTTGGCATATGGCGATGATAGACTCAATCCCTGTCACCAGAGAGTATCAGGAATGTTCTTTGTTTTTTTGATGACATGATGTGGCTGACACTCAGGCTTCCATGTCTCCGTGAACACCTTTTCCTTACACTTCTTCCCCGATTAATGAGTATATAGATAACCTCTGCCTCAAACTAATTATTTAATCTAGAAATGATCATATGTTGGTGTTCCTAATTTGTGTTCCCAATACTTTTCTACTTCATTTTCCATTTTCCTAACATTGCCTTACCAGATGAATTCTGTAGTTTTGAATGTCAACCTCATTTGCAGATGTTCACCCACCAGCCCCGGTATATGTGGCTGGCGCCCTAACCTAAATTTTTACATAGAGACTCAACATGTATTTAGGCGCCATAAGCAGTTGTAAATTTGCACTTCGTAATTAAGGTGTCATTA